CTGGTGGAACCGACCTTCGAATCTCTTCACCAAACACTTCTACTCGAAATGGAAGTAAGCCCAACAATTAATTCTATAGCCTTTTTCAGCCTTGCCTATAGCACTGTTCATGTGACTCGACTCTACACCAAACCACACAAACTAATTGCCTCTTTCGGTTTCTGCTCATTCTCCAAATGACCGGATTCGTATGAATATGTAACTGAAAATGCCGGCATCTGCTTCTCGCCGAGCAGGCCTATCCCAACCTGACGGATATGGGCCGAGGTCTGCGCAGTCTGCTCTCGGAGGCGAACTCGCGTCCGCCAATCCGGCCCGCCGCCTCCACCTCGCAGACCGGCTGTCGAGGCGAGGCGACCCCGTCGGCGGGAGCCACGACCGCCAGCGTCGCCGGCCTCGAACCGAGGGGCCTACAAGTGCTGGCGCCCAACAAGTTCCTGCTCGGTCGAGTCGCCTCCAACGACGACATTTGCATTCGCACCGAGACTCCATTTGCCTTTTCCATCGCCTCCACCGGCCACGACATTTGCATCACCAAAGTGGCTTCTGCCGACGACCTGAACCCGGCCACCGGCTCCGACACCACCTCGGCCGGGGTACGTACCGGCATTCCCGTCTCGTTGCGGCTCACCTTCGACTCGGCGCCTTGCGTCAACCATCAACTCGCCGCTGCAGCCTCCGGCCGGCCGCCGGGTCTCGGACGTCTCGGACAGATCCGTTGCCATGACGGCGACGCAGCTGCTGGCCGACCACGGGCCGGTTGCTATCGGACCATCTACCATGTCGACATGCCGTCGGCGCCGAGTCTGTCGAACCGAGGCGCCGGGGAGTCGAGCTCCGGCGCTCTAGTGCCGCCCCAGACCGACGGTCCGGTGCGCACCAGACCGAGACGAATGTTCGGCGGCGACGGCCTGCGCTACAGCATGCCCTGTATCTCGTATCGGGCCGACCCTCCCCCCGCGATGCCGATTCACATGCCGCCCGCCTATGCCGGCGGTTGTCTACTCGGCCTGGCCAGGCGACAGACGCAGGCCAACTGTACCCCCGGGGCCGGGGGCAGTGGTGGCTGCAACGGGATTGGCAGCGGCCTCGGTGCCACTCGAGTTGGCACCGGCGAGTCTACCGGAGGGGACAACACATCACCGGCGGCAGCCAACACGACGAGTGCAATTGAAACTCCCCAACTCATCTCGAGCGAATTGCACGCGCTGCTCTCCGGTGAGAGACG